TCCTCCTATTATGCTAGTGTAAGTAATGAAGAGGTACTCTTCATGTTCTCCAATTTTCTTTTTATTAAAGTTAAAATTAAGAGATCAAAGTTAATAATTTGGGTTTTTTCTACGCACAAAAGAGGCAATTTTTCTTCATAAATGTAAAGGTTAAATTTAACAAATAGATATCTTTTCTTTCCTAGATCTATCTCATCTCCAACACAAGAATGAAAATGAGAAAAATCCATGGCTTTTTCCTTTTTTCTTTTTTCAAATCTTGGTTGGAGATCTAGCTTGATTTTTCCATTCTATAGAATAAGAGAGGGATTCAACCAAACATTTAGAAGGACATAGCAAGTATAGGCAGAAAGATGGAAAAAAAAAAAAAATTCATTTGAAACCCATAAAATTCAAGACTACTTTTCCTATTTTCAATTGCATAATAAATTCCTCGTCTTTTTGGGTTAATCAATCTCAAATCCCTTTACCTCAACATTTCAGCAATGTGGATCTTTGTGGGGAAGAAATTGAAATGGTGGTGTTGGTTTCAATGTTGGTTCAGAGGAAGGAGGCTGCAGTGATGGGAAAACGAGGGGGTTTTTGTGGGAGGGAGAGGAATTAGGTAGTCTGGTGTTTCTAGGATCCAAGAGTTTAGATCTAGGTGCTAGCTGGAGCAAAAAAAAAAAATTGAAAATTTTCAGATCTGATAAAAAAAATAAAGCTAAACCAATTGGTTGAAATCGATAGTTACTAGTGGGTGATAAGTACCCAAACTGTGATGAGTACCCAAAATTTCTGAATTCTTTGTTATGGAGAAGCAAGGGGAATAGATGGAGTGGTAGGAATAGAGAATGAGGACGAATGAGAATGGAGGAAGAGAAAGGAAGGAACGAGAAGGGAGGAAGAAAGGAAAGGAGGAGGAAGCGAGGAAAAGCAGTGGCCAACAGTGGTGCCACTGCCGGAGAAGACAAGGAAAAAGTGAAGAATCAAAGAAGGGATGGAGTTATTGTATGTTTGGAATAAAAAATAGAGTATGGCTGGGTGAATGGTTGCAGAGTTAAGTTATTTACCTCCTATTCTTAATTAGACTATATATATTTTCTTTTATGGATGATAACTATTCGGGTGTTGATCCGGTATGTGTGTGAATTATTTTC